TGACTAGAGAGATCTTTGTGGCATTCCCCTGGAGTTTGCATTTTAGGTAATGGCGGCCGTTTTCTTGACTTGATTTTTAAACTTTTCATGGGCTCGAATACCAGTTTGGTTTGGCGACCACATTTGAGTCTTTTGGGCATGCTTTGAAGGAAATCTGGCTGTTTGGAGTCACCTAACCAGAGTTGGTGATTTTTTTGTTTTTTAAGCCTTATTAAGTCTGAACTGTCATGAGGACAACAAAAATTACCAGCACCTCTGAAACTTTTTTCACATTCATATGAATAGGCTGCTTGTGGTGAATGTACTATTTCTGGCAGCACAACGCATGTCTGTCGGCAAGGTGCATTGGGATGCTGTTCAGAGTGAATGGCTCCGCATCACGCTAACGCAATAACAATGAACGCCTCTTTTTTGGTCTGGTAAATATACCATTTAAATGAATAGCCCCCAACACAGCGCCTTGTGATTTTATACTCTAAGGTTTAAGTAGTTTTTATATGGGAGATCAATGCAGTAGTATCACTATCATTGGTCTCTGTGAAGAGCAGCCCTGTCTGTACACACCAGACCTAATAAAGTGTGTGTGTGGGGTCCATCTCATTTGTGAGGTTTGGAAGTGCCTGTATACACAGGTTGTTGTGTCATAGGCTTTGTTTTCTACTGGCAGTGGCTGGGTCAGCTGCACATCAGGGACTCTGTGTTCCTAATTTGCACTGGCTGTGGAGAGAGGAGGCGTCATGGGCCTAATAGACACCTGATGTCCATAAAGGTCCATTTATCTGGGAGCCCTTCCTTCCCCCTTATCTGGGAGCCCTTCCTTCCCCCTCCTATGTAAAGTGCAAATGAAGCCAAAACTTTTTTTAGTTTATAGTTTTGGATACCGTGGAGTGGGATTAGACAATATGTCAGATTTTTCTTGCTGTCTGTGTCCCTGTTGGAGGGGGAATCTCTCTATTTGTCCTAGGGATGGTTATGACTAAAAGAAAAATCCCAAATTTTGGGTTGTCATTAGAACAGGAATAGATGGAAAGGCTTCCTGTGGTGATGCCAGTTCTGGCTTTGGAACAGGAAGTGAAGGGAAATCTGCCCAATGGGACATAGATGACAAAAAAGCCGACTGGGTAGAGTATGGGAGGGCTATAACCCCTAAGCCAAAAACTTTTCAGGCTTAAAATACTAACCTATGAGAAGACAAAATACCTTGGGCCCTGGCTTCCTGAAGGCATGGTGATGTCACCAAGTTCTAGGTCCACAAGATATGTAGACAAAAGAGTTCCCTGAAAGAAGCTATTACCCTATTTATACAGGAAGGGGAACTGGGAACTCTGCAACACTCCATGGACCAGTTTACACCAATGCCTCTGTATTCCATAAAAGTCACCCCAGCAGAAAACACACAGATTTAAAGTCTCTAAATTTATTAAATATATTCCATCAGATGCAGTTATTTTAAATATGAAAGACTCCGCTTTTGGCCAACGCCAACACAAAGATTCACACAACATTTTAAATAGAATAACAGATACTGGCTAAACAAATTGAATCCAATATCTGTATAATTATTTCTGTTTAAAAGTACAACATATATACAGCTAGAAAGTAATTCTAAATAGATTTTCTTCCTTCAATTCTTAGTTCTAAAAGTCTTCGGATTCCATGTATAGGAAGGTGTAATAGGCCACAGTCTTAAGGGGTCCAGATGGTCGGTTGGGGTTTGTTCCGAGCAGCTGCCGAGCTTATATTATCCTACAGGTGCATTAAAGTCTATGGGCGACGGACTATGTGGGGACTGTGGAGAGAAGCCGAGCAGAGATTCAGTCCTCCTGCCAAACAATGTCAGTAGGATTGTGCATTGACACTTCTCAAATTGTAATCACGCTGCAGTTGAAGAGTCAGTAACGCACTAGAAAGCAATGCGTTGCAGGCCCCCCAGACAGGAAATGAGCCCTCCCATGTATTGCCAAAATTTCCAGCTCTGAAGATCTGAGGAGAGAAAAAACAAACACTGGTTTAGAGTCGCTTGCATTGATTGATCAGAGTGTGGACTGAATCAATTTTAGAACGATGACAGTCACTTCTTGAAATAACTTTAATTCAATGTAAAACTCATCTTCAAAAGCCAAGTAATTGGTGTGATGAATTTTGGATGTAGTTTGGGGCTGTGTCTCCTTCCCATGGTGGCAGTGATTGCAGTATGGCGCCTGATGTCCACTCTGCCCCCATGGGGACTCTTAACCCATTCATAACTGAGCCCTTTTTTGAATTTTTTGCACTCATGATATATTCCACATTTTAGGCCTGAAATTACTTAAAACCCCCAAACATTATATATTTTCTGAAAGCCAAGACCCTGTAGAATAAAATGGTGGGAGCTGCACATTTTTATGTTGCACGATATTAGCGCAACTTATCAAACCCCAAATTTTTTTTTTTAAATGCCCCAAAACACAATAAAATACCAATCTGTTTCATAAAATATGAGATTACAATGAGTAAATAGATACCCAACATGCCCAGGTTAAAAATTGTGTGCATCCGTGAAACTGCGACAAATTTCAGTACCCCAAAAAGTCCATAGACGCTTTAAAAGCCCCCAACATGTGTAATGCGTTTGTCGTTTTCATACGTAGGCGGACCCGATGCGTCTGCTCGCTGGGGACTTTAAAAAATGTTTACAATTTTTTTATGTAATGTTAATTTTAAATACTGTTTATTTTTTTCCCAGATCTTAGAAGTGATCCGGCGACAGCTGAGTTGCCAGAATCGCTTCTATTGTAAAGCCGGCAGTCGGCTTTACAAGTTTAAACAGAGTCCCAGCGGCAAAAGCTGCCGGGTGTCAGTTTAAACAGTCCCAATGCTAGTGACGTACACTGTACGTCGTTAGCCATGAAGGGGTTAAAGAGGAACGTTACCCATATCTTTCAAATAACAACAAACACACCTTTAGAAATGTTTAGTAATAACAATCAACACACACACACACACACACACACACACACACACACACACACACACACACACCCCTAGATAATTGCCGGCTTTTTATTCTTTGCATACGTTTTTTTTCCCTCTCCTGAGAGTGGCCATTTTAAGGGAAGATTACCAAATCTTCCTTTACTTCCTGGAAAAATGCCTTTCCCTGCGATTTCACAGCAATGCTCTACTTGTAACCTTCCCAGGATGCAATGCTTGGAAACCATTACTTAATTTGTGCCAAAGAGAACCAGGAAGTTAAAAAAAAAAAGAAATTGTAAGTAAAATAAAAATGTTTGTTTAGCTAACGAAGATAATTTCATATCAGCATGCAGAGTGATTTTTAGTCAAAGGGGTAAAGGTCCGCCGTAACACACAACATGTATTAAAGCAACTCAGCTGTTAAAATAAGAAATGTAAGATGTGTGCAGAGCGGCCTTTCCATTATTTTCTGTTCAGTCCCACTGAGCTCCTGTGCCAAGCATAATGAGAGCCAAACTTCTGTCTCCCTACTGTATGAATGGAGTTCCAGGAGTCTATCACCTCAAATGCACCATCACTCAGGAAGCTTGTCAGGCCCTATGGGGTAGCAATAACGTGTTTACAAAATTAATATGCAGATAATGTCTGAGACACTTTGGGACTGTGACGGACCCCAGTACTCAGGATGACTATGTCCATCGCTGTATTCTTCCTTGCTCGGGAGATATTGCAACCCGCTGATCTTTAGATCCCAATTTCCCCAGTCACTGGTCGAGACTCAAGTGTAGGGTGACACAAACTCTGATTTATTGAGAAACTTTGCAACCTTTTATACAGCAAGTGATCAGATTATAATCCCATCCACCCTGCCCTCCATAGACATTCTGTCTGCACAACCCAGCAGGGTTCCACCTGCTAAAGTGCTCCAGACAGCCATAGCAGGGCCTGACCAAAATGTCATTGTTCTGAGCTCCTTCAGAGTATAAAAGGGAGATAACAAGGGATGATGCTGACAGTCTTTTCATAACCAGGTTACACAGTATAACGCACTTAAACATAACCCAACACCAATACACATTTAACTCATAAACTGATCTGATCACCATGCTGTCACAGGGACCACCGGGTTAGTTATAACACCACACTGGGCGTTATTATCAGACCGGTAATGGCACATTCATTACATCAATTTTGAGAAACATGAACATGCTACAAAGTCGGCTTTAGTTTGTTTCTTCACATCAACGTTGAAGTGAAGCGATAAGTGGTCTATTCTATAAATACACTTTTGCTGCACAGCAGGCAACATAAACTGCCTGCACCTCACCTGACTACCCAGACCAATGCCACCAGAAAATTGCAGTACTATGGCAGGTATGGTGCACATCTCCCACACGTTGCTGCTCGGTGCCTGAGCAGATACTTGTCACCAGGGAGTATTTACTTTGTTTACAATGAAAACTTGCACCACAATTTCAGGGAATTCTGGCAGGGGGAGAGTGCAGCCTGCGTATAGTAGTCACCATACAGCAAACCTTACCTTGCCTGGGCAAAGTGTTCACCTGAACTCTGAACACCAGGCAAACTGCTGGCATGGAAGCAACTAAAGTAGTTCAACTGTCTCCATCTAATGTACTCTGGAAGGTGCCAGGCAAGCTTGTGCTGCTCAAACATTGGGGCTGAAAAGGAATATAAAGTTCCAAAACTCTAAGCACTTGGTGAAGTGCTTGCTTCACATTCCAATGCAGCATTTATTTAAAGTGACACTAAATTAAGGAGTTCAATCTTAAAAATACATTCATGTACCTTAACTATTACTAAAAATGTTACTTATTTGTGTATCACTCGGCTGTAGATCCTCAAATCATCTCTGAATTGGTGCCGACACTGTCCTTTCTGGGGGGGCTAATTTTGTTCCCCATGGTCCCTGTGTGTTTTAAATTCAAGCTCACTCCTGTGATAGACTACAATCTCAATACAAATAAGTAAACTAAACATGAGATTGTAGTCTATCACAGGAGTGAGCTTGAATTTAAACACACAGGGACCATGGGGAACAAAAGGTAGCCCCCCCCTCCAGAAGGAAGGACAGTGTCAGCACCAATTCCGAGATGATTGGAGGATCTACAGCCGAGTGATACACAAATAAGATAGATGTATGTTATTAGTTGGGGTACGTGAATGCATTTATAAGATTTAACACCTGAGTTTAGTGTCACTTTAACTTGCTTCCACTGGTGGGTCACATTCACTAAAGCAGTGGTTCTCAACCTATGTAACCTCAGGACCCAGATTTGTCCTTATCAAGTGGCGATGCAAGTAACACTGCAATGGAACACATGGCATTGCGGTACCACGTGTTCCGGTGCGCGCGACTGAACTCTGAATGGGAGGTGTGTTTGGGGTACCATTCAAACGAATGGCAATGCACCTCATACACCAGAATGCACAGTGGGTGCAATTGCGTGGTACAGTGCATTAATCGCATGAGACTGTTCGATTAACACACTGTACTAGTGTGAACGGGCCCTCCAAAAACACTGACACACAATCTCACACACACATACACACTCCCCCGGCCAAAGAACCAAGGCACTAGGAGATTGTGATCGGCTAACTGCAATCCTGAAGCCACATACATCTTGAATGCCCTACATGTCACATTTCAGATGCTCCGGCAGTGGTAAGTATATACAGCGCAATGTCATCTACTGATATGATTTACTAATGACTAAAAGCCTCATTCATCACACGTCTTTCAGAACAATGTGTGTGTATTGCCCCAAGCAATCATACTCAAACTGTGCAGCTCTGACTCCTGCAGCGTTGCTCCAACAGCAGACAGCGCTCAGACGCATCTTTTGTTTCATGGACCTGTATGTTTTGTAACATTTAAAAGGAAAATGTTCCACTTTACAGCAGAACCCACAAGACATTCACTACTATCCAGGACTCCTTTTACACAGTGTTCTGATCAGATCCGCCCGTCGGTTTCTATGCAACTCTATGGGGAGTCGGATGTAAACAGACCTGCGTCCATTTACATCCCAATATCTCCGAGGCCGTCTCAGTCTCAAAATAATGACTGAATGAGTTCCGTTTTGGGGACCTGAACAGGACAGATCACAGGTAATCGGATGTAAAACAGACCCGTGTGCTTACGTCTGACTGCCCCATAGACCTAATATGGGTCCTGCTCATTCCTCCAGCTTCCAAAGGCGGAGCAAACTAAACAGACATGGATGTCACAAAAGAGACACGTTCCGTACTGCTCCAATCAGCAGGAGATCTGTGCACGGACCCTCCCCCTGCTGGGTGGCAAAGGTAAATTTGGGCATCTTGTGGTGCCTTTTCTTAGGCATAAATGTTACTGTTAAATCTTAAAGATGGAGTAGAGGTTCACTGTGACTAGTTTTGTATATAGAAGTTCTAGCTCCTTTAGTTTCTATTATTGAGCCGCTTGTGTAGAAGGACAAATCTAGACTGATGAGGTGTCTGTGTTGTGCGTATCCTCTGTACCTGTGCTTTCTCCAGTGTGCCAAGAAAGGGGCTAGCCATGCATGGAAGCTTGGACCTCCGTCAGTCTGTTACAGCTGGGGGTTCCCATCCTCTGCGCTCTCTGGTAGAGATCTGCGTCGCCAAAGTAACGTGCTCGGTATAGTAATCCTTCCTCTGAAAGTACAAAGAGAACCAGTCAAAGTGTATAAATACCAGCAGGAACATGTTCAGTCACTACTGTACTTTCACATAGCTAGACATACTACAGAACAGCACCACACACATTACAATCGTCAATGACAACTGTCAAAATAACAAAAAGAGAATGGCAGGAAAATACATAGAGGGGAAGTTATCAAATCTGGAGCAACCAATCAGCTTCTTTCTTCATTTTCAAATCTTAACTGAACAACCTGAAGAAAGAAGCTGATTGGTTACTATGGGCAACTGCTCCAGTTTTCATGAGGCCCCATTCACACTGCGCGATTCGCAAATCACACGTTTGTCGCGCGATTTGCATTTTGTGCGATCTCGCGCAAATGCTTGCATTGAGCAAGCGAGAATCGCGGCAAAATCAGCTTCAAAAAGGGTCCTGCTGTAGCGACCCGCGACAGCAGGACCCTTTGCCCCATTGCAAAGCATTGAAGAGCGATATCGCGCGGTAAATAGCCGCGATATCGCGGGAATTACCGCGCGATAAATCGCTCAATGTGAACGGGGCCTCAATCCCCCCACTCCCCACCCATAGTTTAATAAATGTATTTATTAAATAAAATGACTCCAATTCACTCACAAAAGGAGTAATGTGACCACTTACAGAGCCCCGTGCTTGACTGCCTGTTATAGCCGGTGACTATGTTCCGCCCAGAAAGAAACCGCACACTCCACAAGGATCAGGCCAGCAAGGTGACAGCAACAAGGTCCAAAGCTGGTGATTGTTGCTCTACCCACTCCTGAACATAGGCAAGTCATGGGAATGTATTGTCCCCTTATTAGCCTGAAGGGGAAGTATCTTCCCTAAGACACATTCCCATCACCTGTCCATGTTCAGGAGTGGGTAGCACTACAATCACCAGCCTTGGACCTTGCTGCTGTCTCCAGCCACATTCCACCTTTCGCCTTGAAGCACTGTCAGTGCATTTTTATTCAATAAAAGATCATGATTTCTCAAACCAAAGCCTCATTTTCCCCTAAAACACTGGAGCAGACAGAGTCTGGTGCAATTGCCCATGGCAACCAATCAGCTTCTCTGCTCCAGTTGGATAAATTCATTGTATGTGTTCATTTGTTATCGTAAGTTATTGCCAAATAAACAGATCCACAAGGGGAATGCAGAAGTTGCTGTGATTCAAAAGTACGAGAGCTGAAATGGTGAAAGGCAGCTGGACATATCTGGAAGATTCCAGTGATTGGGGCTCTTGCAGAGAGATGGTCAATGTGTGACTTTCCGCACTAGTATTGGTATCGGTGCTGATACCGAGTATTCGGGTGTGTACTCATACTCGCTCCGATGCCTAGCCCGATACCTGAACTTCCGGTATCAGGAAGCCGGGCAGCAAGTCATTACACGCTGCCCAGCCAATCAGGAAGCCAGGCTGTGTAATGACTCGCTGCCCAGCTTCTTGATTGGTCGGGAAGATGGCCAATGAGGAAACCAGACGGTGAATCATTACCCGCCTCCTGGCTCCCTGATTGGCCAGAGAGCCAGCTTCATGCTCCCTCATTACCTGGTGACAAGAGAGTATGGAGCCGGCTTCCCAGCCAATCAGGAAGCCGAGCTCTGTGTAATGACTCGCCGCTTGGATTCCTGATTGGTCGAGAAGCTGGCCAATCATGCAGCGAGTCATTACCTGCCCCCCGGCTTCCTGATTGGCCAGAAAGCTGGCTCCATGCTTCCTCCTCACATGGTGCCGAGGAAACATGGAGACGGCTTCCCTGCTACTCAGGAAGCCGGGTGGTGAGTCTTTAAACGGCGCCTGGCTTCCTTAATGGGACTTCCGGTATCGATATTGGCGAGTACCGAAAGAAAAATATCGCTACTCTTACTTGATGCTGAAAAACCGGTAAATGTGCATCCCTATTCCATACACGTGGTGTGTGCTTCCAGCAGAGGTACTTCATTTCAACACAGAGGGCCCCTTGAAATAACTCTCGGGGAACCCCCAGCTATGAATTCCTAGAACTACAATGCAGGGCATGGGTTTGAACAGTAACTTTAACTTGTGCATACTCACAGTATGTCACACCCCGGGCTGCTCTATACAACTAAATGGTTTGCAGTAACATGAAACAAATAACAATGAAGGTCAAAAAAGGAATACAGCCCATAAAAATGTCCGTGCCGTCTCATTGGAGGTCAGTGGGATAGGGCTCCATTAGTCTGGTGATCAGTAGAACGAATGTCCCCCCTCACAGATAACTAAAAAGATCATTGGATCTTACAGAAGAGAACCCTGGTTGGGAAAAGCTGCCCTAAACACTCCATTCCATACCAATGGCAACAATGCAGATCATATAAATGACAACAGACGCTGCGTTGCTTTATAGGAAGGACTCTTCTTGGCCTGTATCACTGAATATAAAATTATGGGAAGGTCCCATCAGAAATGACTTCCTACTGAATGTGACACTTACAGGTACTTGCTGCAAATGAACGGCATTGCAAACCTTCACATACAGTTATGTAAACAAGCTGAAGACACACACCAGGTGTCACAGATGAAAGTCGGGGATGATAAGTGAGGATCCTGCTGGTTGCTTTGGGCTATAGATAAATCTACACAATGTCTTATCTTCCCATGTACTTACTTTGCTGCTTCTCTTTCCAGCAGTTATTCCGAAGATTGGCTATGAAGTCCTCTTCTACACTTCTTTCCACATTTCTGAGGTTGCTGCCAGTGTACTCCTCATCAAAGCTTTCAGACACAAAGTACGGGACCCTGAGGTGTTCGGTGATTTTCTTATGTATATGACCAACAGACCTGAGTGCAAAGAAGACAACAGTCAGTCAAGGGATCTGATTATGGGGATGGCACTTTTACTCCACCATCGTCCCGAGCACCACGCAACTGGCAAACAGGCAAGAAATGGAGGATGTAATTGCATCGCTTTCTGAAAATGCTTGTTGCCCAACGTTCACACAACTCTCTGAATTAAATACTTTGAGGCTAAGCCCTGGAACATGCAGGTATAGACCTCTAAGTTTCTATTGATCTGCATCCTTGTATTAGGGCTACTATGAAGCAGAAGAACAGCCAGGCCACTAGAGCTTTCAGAAGGAGTTCAGCCCCCATGCACAGCAGTTGTTCAGAATCGGCTCTGACATGTTATTGACCTTGTGCCCATAATTAGGCCAGCAGAGTAAGCCCTGGCTTGTATACTTAACCCTTTGTACCTTCAGTGACAGGCTCGCCTCATTCCTTCTATACAGGTAAGACTTCTCAGCTGCATACATACATGCATACATACATGCATGCATGCATATATTGTTTTCAGGGGTGTGGACATTTATTTAAAAAACTACTTGTCCGGATACAAAAAATAATTTTAACCAAAACCCTATGTAACCATGTGAAGAAACGCTTCTCATTGGTCAGCGTGGTCACCTGACCAACGAGTGCTCGCAATTTGCAAGTAAAATTCTAACTCCATAAGGCCGGGCTGTGTTCTGGACGGCAGTATGGAGTGCAGATAGTAGACCCGTACTGGTGGAGGGAAAGGACTGCTCGCCGAGAGGTAAGTATTGCACTGGGGGAGGGAATGTAGGCAGGAGGGGGGCCAGATCTGACCGGGTAATTCCATTTCCCCAAATGACTTGGGAAAGTGATCTTACCCTTTTACCATTTGCTGCCCGGGGTGTTTATACCCCCTTCCTGTCCAGGCCATTTGTCAGTATTCAGCACTGCGGAACTTTGACATTTATTCTGTCATGCAACGCTGTACTGAAATTAATTTTATACCATTTTCAGGGACAGATGGAGCTTTCTTCTGGTGGTATTTAATCACCACTGGGGGTTTTATTTTTTTTACTCTATAACAAAAAAAGTAGCAAACATAAAAAAAAAAAAAAAACTGTTTTAAACATTTATTATTACCCAATTGTTTGGTAAAATATAAAAGACGGGGTCACGTCGGGTAAATAGACACCAAACACCTCAAACCTTAAGATTGCGTGTGCCTGCAAAAAATCACGACACCCAAAACTGCCCATAGGCGACACTTTAAAAGCTTTTACTGCTCATCAGTTTAGTGTTATCAGTGATTGATGGCCCTAAAATGACATTCGCAGTGATATAAAACATGTGCAGCATAATAGGCGCAATCGTCATTTGCACACGTAGACACACCAGACTCATGTTTTGCGTGTGTGTGGGACTTTAAAAAAAATGTTTTTTAGGGTTTTTTTTGTAACTAATTTCTTTTTAATTTTTTTTTCCACTTAACTCTATTGCTATTACATAGGGGGCTTGTTATACCCCTCCCTAAGTGATGGCCAATATACAGCGACGGGTCCTCTTTATGGAGACATCAGGGGTCTTTAAGACCCCTAATGTCACCTAGTGATCCCCAGAGAAGCTGATGAAGCAGAGATCGGCTTCACCAGCTTCTGTAGCCAGAGAGTGACAGCTGAATGCGGAAGTGATGTAATATACATCACTTCCTGCATTCAGAGATCGGAGAGGAGGTTGGAGGGAGATTGTGTACTGATCTCCAGTCCCAGCTTGCACCGGGCACAGCGGAGCTAGAGGTTGGCGGCGGCGCACACCCGCACGCATAATACAAGCAATCGGGCGTCTCTATGGAAGCCGAAACGCTTGTATGTAAACAGCCATACTAACGGCTCAGTGACATCAATGCAATTTCCTGTAATCTCCCAACAGCCATTTTGGAGAATAGCAGAGCGGACAGACCCTCGTTTCCCCTGCAGTGACAGATCACAACTACAACAGTGATCTATGATGGTTTGCTGAGAATATTAACCACTTGCTGCGGGTAGCCATAAATATACAGCGGGCCACTGAAGTGGTTATTCGAAGAACACAGCTGCTGCAGCCATGTTCTTGGTGTCATTTCAAACAGCCGGTGATTGCCGCTAAGGTACAAGCGAGCCGGTGTCTATACGGCCGCTGGATGACTTGTACCGATCGACGGAATGTGCTGCCCCCACCCCCCCTCCGCCCCGTGCGGGATTGGCTCGGTGGGTCTCCCCGCAATGATCAGAGAGAGTTAGAGGCTTCCAGCCACTGATCTCTCCTCCAATCATGGACCCGGAAGTGATGTATTACTGTCACTGTGCACATTCTCTGGCTCCTAAAGCCAGGAGAAGAAGCTTTCAGCTAAGGGACATGAGGAAGTTTAAATACATTCAAGTACCTGAACTATTAACAGAGATGTATCCTATTTGTTTATCACTCGGCTGTAGCTCCTCAAATCATCTCTGAATTGGTGCTGACACTGTCCTTCCTTCTGGAGGGTGCCTACTTTTGTTCCCCATGGTCCCTGTGTGTTGTAAAGTAGTCACCGCTCCAAGCTCTCTCATGTGATGGACTACAATCTCAATACAAATTATTAAACTAAACAATTAGATTGTAGTCCAGCATGAAAACGAACCTGGAGCGGTGACTACTTTACAACACACACAGGGACCATGGGGAACTAAAGTAGCCACCCTCCAGAAGGAAGGACAGTGTCAGCACCAATTCAGAGGTGATTGGAGGATCTGCAGCTGAGTGATATACAAGGTCCAGTATTGTTAAGTTACTTAAATGCATTTCAACGTTTTACTTAAACAAATGAAACCAGCAGTCTGCATGGAGAAGGACTCTGTGATTTAGATAAATGGGTGTAATAGAAAAGTAAACTTTATTGGAATGTTCGATGTGTCTGTTGGGACAGATCACAAAGATGAAACCAATACATTTCTAAATGGAGAAGTGCTGTGGGCTGAAGTGGACCCGTGACATGGAAGTTTTCAGGTAAGTGCCAGTTGTGAACACTTTTTTCTCAATCTGACCATGGAACATGATGACACGCATCTGAATTCTATGATCTGTTTATTTTCTCCCAGATACCCAGCAATCACATGACCAAAGAAGAATAAAGACTAGAACTGCAAAGTGTGTTCTCTTCCTAGCTCCAGCAGACATGAACTCCTCTTCTATTTCCCTTTCCAGTATTTTGGAAGGAATCAACTTCTTATTACATAATAAAGGAAGAGAAAAGGAGTGCAAATGATTTGGTTTCTTTCTCCTGAGGGGACAGTAACCACCACATTGGTAGTTTTATTGACAGATCGTGTTTTTTATGTTCCTGGCTTCTATAGCGTTACCAATATATGAGCATGCACAGAGATATCTCCTCTGGGTCTCCAGGACCTCCAAATGCTTCTCTTACATTAATTGAAGTATGGACAGCAATACTCACGGTCTATGGCTGAGGCTGTAAGGCGGATTGGAAACCATCATCTGACTTAGTGCAGACACGATGATCAGGATCAGGATAGGCATCAACTGGACAAACATTCCGAGACTTCCCTGTACAGATAAGGACATTATTAATACCCGCTTGGGGATCAGATAAAAAACTACAAGTCTTGCTGTGTGAGAAGATGAATGTGTGCCTCTAGTAAAATGAAATAATAAATGGAACTGCAGAAAATACAATTGTCACACTCATGTATAGAGGATACTAAATAAAGACTCATTTGTTGTTACCTCTACAGCTTCATTCCTCCTGAAAAGTGATGACATTAAAATCAGTTGTCTCATATATACCCCCCACCTTTTATTATGTCATAGACTAAAGCAAAGCGAATAAGTCATAATATAACAGGGCCTGGGCAGATCTGTACCCCTAGGAAAGATATCAATAATTAGATCATAGTGATCATTGAAACTGCTTTCTGGATCTAGTATCACACATCTTCAATCTTTTAAGCAGTCTGTTCGCCTATTTGAATGGAGAAAAGTAGTCACTCTGCTGTTGGGTATCATCAAAGCAAAGGAGAGCGTTCTCCGAGATGAGAAAGAAAACTATAGACCAGCATATCAAAGGTAAAGCCGATAAGACCATCTCTGCGAAGCTTGATGGTCCTGTGACTACAGTTGCAATTATTAAGATGTCTAAGGTCCATGGGAGTGTAGCCAACCCCCCTGTACGTGACAGCAAGAGAAAAATCAAACCAGAAGGATAGTGTGAATGGTAGAAAAAAGAGCCAAAGAACATTTCCAAACCAATACAAGCTGAGCTTCAAGGTTGCATCGGTGTCCACTCGCACCTTCCATTGCCTTTTATGTGACAGTGGGTTCAATGGAAGGAGACCCAGTAGGAACGAAAGGGACAAGCCACAGTGCTTCTGGGACAATGTCCTCCAGACAGGTGACACATAACTGGAGCTATGTTCACAGATGGAAAAAAATGAAGCTTTCAAAGAAAAGAGCACCATACCTACTGTGAAACATGGAGGAGGCTTGGTTATGTACTGGGGCTGCGTCTGGCACAGGGTGCCTATAATCATCTGTGCAGGGCACAACAAAATCTCAGGACTATTGTGGAATTCTGAAGTTAAACATACAGCCCAGTGTCAGAAAGCTCTCACTCAGTCACAGCTCCTCTAAGAGAATGGCCATGAGCAAATCAGGATCATTTCTGGATGAAATGATGGATTGATGACTTTGGTCATAGATGGGTACCAACAAATCTGTCCGTGTTTGTATATTGAACAATAAAATCACGTTATTGTTAAATAGTAATCCACAATCTGACCAACTCACAAATCTTCCAATAGACACATCCAGCCCAATGCATTATAAGCAACCACTCAGCAATCCAAATCCAATCCCTTCAACATATGCAGGTCAGGGTCAAAACTTGCAATTATATTACTGTTTACAACTCTCTGAAGATATCTCGCAGTGCACGGGAAGCAGTATTGTGAATGCTACCACAGAGATTGTACACCAATAAAAGCACGCTATAAGACAGGTCAATGCCACACACTAGGACACATACTATGCCCAACTTGTATCTTCATCTACTGAGCTATCCTGGGTATCACCGACTTTCTACTGTGATGTTACACAACTCCACTGCTAATAAACTGGGCTGCCAGTCAAACAATCATATGTACAACACTATACATCTACAGTCATGGGCAAAAATATTGGCACCTCTGCCGTTCGGTCAGATAACGCACCACTTCACGCAGAAAATTGTTGCAATTACAAATGTTTCGGCATCCTCATGTTTATTTATTTTGTTTGTATTGGTATGACACAAAAAAGTGGAGGAAAAAAAAAGCCAAATCTCACACATTCCACGCAAAACTCCAAAAATGGACGGGACTAAATTATTGGCACCCTCAATTATTATTTGGTAGCACAGCCCTTGGAAAAAATTACTGAAATCAATGGCTTCCTGTAACCATCAATTAGTTCTTACACCTCTCTACAGGAATTTTGGACCGCTCTTCTGTCACCAACTGCTCCAGGTCTCTCAGATTGGAAGGGTTCCTTTCTGGGTGCTTTTTGACGTGTGCTTTGGGTCATTGTCCTGCTGTAAGACACATGACCTCTGACAAAAACACAACTTTCTGACACTGTGCCCTACATTGCACCCCAGAATTCTTTGTTAGTCTTTAGATTTCATAATGCCATGCACACAGTTAAGACATCCAGGGCCTGAAGCAGCAAAGCAACCCCAAAACATCAGTGAACCTCCACCATGTTTGACTGTAGGGTCTGGATTTTTTTCTTTGAAGGCCTTGCTTGCCTAAATATTTGTAATTGCAACAATTTTCTGCGCGAAGTGGTGCATTATCGGACAGGGGTGCTAAGATTTTTGGCCATGACTGTATAGGCATAAAGAGTGGTGAAGAAATTCACATTGACAGATCTCATAAATATAAACTAAATCATAACAGAAAAGGATCATCAGTGAATGGGGACGGAGCAATATGGAGCTTGTGGGCGAGTCTTCCGAGCAGTCATAGTGCTCCCTCTAGTGGTGAAATGCTGGAATTAGTCATGTCAGAGAATGGAAATGTGAAGATGTTTTTTTGTCCAAGAAGAAACTGTTAAACTTGTTTCTCAAGGGCAACACATCCACTTCCAATAACCCTTCTGGAGCTATGAATGGTAATACCCCTGCTGGAGCTATAAATGGTAATACCCCTGCTGGAGCTATAAATGATAATGTTCCGAGTGATCTGCACACAATACACTTAATGAACTCACTTCTCCTTGGTGTTCCCGCCGGTCTGGTCTCTGAGCATAGGTATAACGCATTCGGCCATTGCTGTACACGTGGACATTACCTGGAAAAGGTTCAGTTATTAGGAGACAATGTTTCTCAAGGAAATGTCCACATTCATGTAAAGTCACCTCTACTCAAACTTGACCATTTACTTCTCTGATCCCTCAGACACGGCTTTCACTGAGGTATCATTGTCATGTTATATTACATACCACATTATGGAGAATTGATGGGGGGCTGGACAGCATTAGTTTGCTATGCTATGGATGTAGCCGATGGTCAGAACTGGGACTATTGGTGAGAATATCTTCTATGTAGAGTCCAAGCTATTTGCCAACATGTGATTCAATGTCAGCAACAACTGATATATTGGATTTGGGCAGAACTGACATTTAATACACAGCGCTCGAACTTATGTCCTTAATAGGTAAAGGAGGCATATTGGGAGAGTAAAATGTACTCTTGTCGTGGCTTAGCGCCCCCTGCACCTGCAATGTCACATGCTGGCTCTATGGATCGAGGACTGAGTGATCACAAACCATTGATTGCTCAGCTTCGCCATGGAGAGAGGTGACTGTCAGTAACTGCTCCCTGCATGGATTCCCCCTCCCCTCTCTCTGTGTTTCTCAGTGCTCACTGGATGGACATGGGCACCTCTGGCTCTAGAGCTGTCAATCAGGCAGCGGGGTGGATCCCGCCAATAAAAAACCGCTATATGGTAAGTTTGGGTCACAGGAGGACTTTAGTAAATGTACTCCTGTAATGTACTCATGTGACCCAAAAGAGAACTAAAGCCAAAAAAAAGATTTGCCTTTAGTCCTCCTCTAACAAACATGTTCAGTATTACTATTAGTAGAGATCAGCTGACGTTATGCTTACTAGACGGAAATCCTCCTCCAAAGAACATATTGAAGAGATCTTCAGGGGAGATATCCGCTTCAAATCCTCTGTGGAAGTCTGTGTGTCCATGTCGAGATGGGTTCACCTTCTCCTCTCCAAACTGATCGTATTGCTTCCTCTTCTCTGGGTTACTTAACACTGCATATGCATTCCCAATAGCTAGAATACAAGAGTCACAAATGGAGACGCATACATTAGAGATATGACAGCACAATCACGCTCTATCTAGATATATATGGATATACACTCTCATACTGCAACATGCAGGACTCTGGTGCCAAAAGCACCAGTGCAACCACCAAGAACACTACCCTGAGGTCTCTTGGCTGGGGTGTCAGCTGAGGCCTAAAGACACAACGATCATTTGATGGCTGTGGGAATTGGGGAGCCCGGTAGTTCAGTAGCATTCCATCACCTCATCGCTGACATTGTATATACTGAATTGGTGAATGGGATGAGTTGCAGGTTCAGCTGTTCTCTGGGGCACATTTAGGGTCTTCTGCTGAAAAGTTCAATTTACTTCATTTATACCTAATAAAACTTCCTGGAACTACAAGTCGACCTTATTGTTTGGGCACTATAAATAAGAAGAATACCAAGCAGCACTACAATCCAGGTAACAACAGACCTTCTAGGAGAAACAAGAACCCCCT